TTTTTTGAATTTTCGTTGTTCTGTTGTTGGTTAATAGGTTCGTCAGAGTTTTTTGGTAATGAGTATTTTGTGTAGACAGATTCTTCGTTTGTGTTTATGCTGAATAATATATCTTTTGGTGTCCCTAATATTAGGCTTTGTTCACCTAAAAATCCTCCAATGTCTGAATATCTATCGTGTTTTTCTGAGTCAAATGTGTCAAACGTCTGGTTTAATAGTGAATATTTGTCTGAATCAGTGTAGTCGGTTTTATTTGTTTGTTTTTCTGTTAAATCAACTAATTGGTCAACTGTTGGTATGATTTTCTTTATTGCTCCTGTGTTTTTCTCTTTTCTTACGATTTCTTCTTGGGTCTTGGTCTTAATAGGCGATCTTTGCAGCTTGTTACTCTTTTTGAAAGCTATCTCATCCAGTCCTTTTTCTAAAAGGTCTTCTAATTTTGGATTCTTGTCGATTTGTGATCGCGTAAGTTTCCTAATTATGGATGATGTGTCCTTCGTTGTGCTGGACTTCTTGCTCATTTATTGCAGTTTCGTAATAAACGGGATAAACAAAGGGAATTCGACAAAATCAAAATAGATGAAGTAGGAAAAATATATAAAATAAGGTAAATTATTGTTAGCATAAAATTATGGTAGAAGTATATGGAAACACAATTTCTTATTGAGATGACAAAAATAAAAGGGGAAAAAGAAAAAAGGAAATTCTATCTACGTATGGTATTTGACCTACTGTCTGAAAATTATTTTTCGGTCACTTGTTTCTGCTGTTGTCTTAGTTTCATAATTTTGCAAAATTGCAATTTTGAAATTCGGTTACTATGAAAGAAAGTGACGTGTGCTGCTTACTTCTGTAATACGACGCCTACTCGTATATCCGCGGTTTTCGAACTCTTTCTTTTATGTTTGATGCGTTAATTCATTAATAAGAACTAAGTTTTAATATGTATAAAAATAATTTCCTTTATCTCAATCGAATGTATTTTTCGTACCGGAACCAATTGTTACGTCTCGTGCATCAACTACGAATAGCTAATGAATGAGACGTTCCAATATGTTGACTAGTGGTCGGATATGTCTCACTTATAATAAATATATGTAGAAATGTATGTCTGATGATTGTACTACCTTGATAATTGTAGCTTTTAATTGTGGATAAAATGTAGCAGGCTCTAACTGCTTGTTGGATTGTATGAGTGTAGCAGGCTCTAACTGCTTGTTGAATTGAATAGGATAGGTTGTTGAATAATACTTGCACGATAATACTTTGTAACAGTCGTGAGTTTATTAAGTAAAAAGATCACCAATTGTCGGACCAGTGTGTACGGAGTTGAGTCTTACAGGTACTTATTGACTGACTGACTACTGATCAACTGACTCGTAATGATGTTCATTCCTTTTTATATGTTAATTTTCAGGTCAGTATTGAATTGTGACATTTTGTTTTTTGCTGAATATACATTCTTGTGCTCGGTGGCTTTATTTCGGAGTGCTATTTGTTTTGCGTTTTGTCAGCTTTCTGCTGACGTGTGAATATTTTAGCAGTTTTGAATTTCCTGAATATGCATTTGTTACAAAAGAGGATGTGTCGCAAGGTGTAACAACTTTATTTCGGAGTGTCATTTACCTCGCGTTTCGTCAGCTTTCTGCTGACGTGCGAATAGTTTTAGAAGCTTTGAATTTCACGAGTGTGCAGTTGTTACAAAAAGGATGCGTCGTAAGACGTAACAATTAAACGAAAATTCTATATGTTTTATTAATTAATATTCAAATAAAATCAACTGTGAGGTTGAAAGGTTCCCGAAATCTAATGAAACTACTATAGCGCTTGCTTAGAGAAAGAGAGAGAGAGAGCAGCACATAGCTTACCAAGCTATATGCTACCCTATCTCCAAGGGCCTACATGCCCTACTATCGAAGGAGAGCGAGAGAGAGAGAGAAAGAGAGCAGCATCCAAACTATACAGCGTATGCGTCTAGCAAGCTAGAGAGGCTATCTCCCCTCTCCAAGGGCTATATGGCACACGCTCCTAGCAAGCAGCGAGAGACATTATCCCCTCTCCAAGGACTATACTGTGCACGCTTCTAGCAAGCAGCTAGAGACGCAACCCCCTCTCCAAGGGCTATACGGCATACGCACCTAGCAAGCTGAAGACGCTATCTCCTCTCCGAGAGCCTACACTCAGCCAGCATAAGCTTACTAAGCGTCCTATTAACGAAGGAGAGAGAGAGAGAGAGAGAGAGAGAGAGAGAGAGAGAACAGCATCCGCACTATACGGCGTACCCGCCTAGCAAGCTAAAGACGCTACCCCCTCTCCGAGGGCCCATACTCAGCTAGCATAAGCTTACTAAGCGCCCTACTATCGAAAGAGAGCGAGAGAGAGGGATAGAGAGAGAGAGAGAGAGACCATCATATAGTTTACCAAACACCCTACCGACTTCTACAGCATACTACCTTAACAACTTTAGTAGGTGGGTTTAGGGGGTGGGGTCTCTGTTGAAGGGGCCCACTGTCACGCGGGAGGTGTCAAACGAAAATCAAATGCCATTTAAACACTCAGCATGGGGTCTCACCTTAAATTAAAAGGTATCACTACCGCGAAACCTTCATCGGGCGGCCTCTTTGTTTCGCAGAACATACATATATCCCTTATACATTGGCTTGTGTCCCAGAACATACACATATCCCTTATACATTGGCGGCACGCGGGAGGTGTCAAACGAACATCACATGCCCTTTAAACACCCAGCATGGGGCCCACTGGCTCGCGGGTGGTGTCAAAGGTACATCAAATGTCTTTTAGACACTCAGCATGGGGTCTGACCATAAATTAAAAGGTGTCAGTACCGTGACTCCTTCATCGGGCGGCTCCTTTGTGTCCCACAACATACATTGCTTATCCACTCGGAAGGGAGATCGACACTTTCTAGCTCCATGGCCTTCATGGATACAGTTGTAGCATAGGTTCGTCTGCTGCACGCATTTTTTCACTGCTCGGAAGAAAAAGTCTTAAATTTCGAGCAGCCTGAAACTCCATGTTGCCCTTGGTACACTTGCCAGAGAGATTGAATACGATCTGTACCGAAATTTCCGTTTCTCACTACATGAGTAGTATGGTTGCGAGCCGTCCTAGCTGATCGTCGTTGTGCTACTCAACTGTTAGAATTGATGTCGACTGCGCATTAGGTCTGGAGAATCCTTGTTCTGTGTTCGAGAAAATTCTTCAGCTCGACATATTGGGGGAAAGTATCTAAATTTACGATGGATTTTTCCTAGTCTTCTCTGGTTTCGACGTCCAGCCTCATCTCAACAAGTTGTACCAGCCAATTATCCCAATGGCTGACAGATCATCATCTTTATCCCAGTGCTGTAGCACAGTTCTTTGACTGTATCTAACAATCGAGTGATTTCATTTAAATCTGACTAGTGAAGGCAAGGTGATTATACTCATCCAAAGAATGCAAGTTTTTATTAAACCAACGTGTGAAGGCTCGATTATAATACCCGGGCCAATGAAAAGGAGATTATTTTACCCGGTTCTTGAAGGCAAGTGCGCCATACCCCGTCAGTAATGGCAAAGTTTTCATAAGTCGCACTGTGAGTGCAAGGTTATTACACCCACTCAGTGAAAGCAACGTTCTATCACGCTGACCTGTGAAGGTAAGATTATTATACCAAGCCAAACAAGGTAATGTTATGATAACCACCTAGTTAGGGTAAGGATGTTATACCCCGCAATGAAAGGCAAGTACGTCATATCTGGCCAGTGAAGGCACGGATATTACACATAGCCAGTAAAAGAAATGTTTTTTTATACCGACCTGTGAAGGCAAGGATGTGTTACTAAGTCAATTAAGACAAGCTTATTATACCCAGACAACGAAGGCTAGGTCATTATACACAGCCAGTGAAGGGAAGGACATTCTATCAGGCCATTGAAGGCAAGTACGTCATATCTAGTAAGTGGAGGCAAGAATATTATACCAGCCAGTAAGAACAAGGTTATTATACCCAACCAATGAAAGCAAGGTTATTATAACCAGTAAATGAAGGCAAAGATGATTTACCCGGCCGTTGATGGAATGTTCGTCATACCCGGGCAGAAAAAGAAAGGATTTTTAAAATGACATATAAAGGCAATGTTATTATACCCAACCAGCGAATGCACAGTTTTTTTAAGTCGACCTTTGAAGGTAAGGTTATTTTATCCAGTTAATGTAGATAAGGTTTTTATACCCAGCCGGCGAAGGAAATGAAGTTTTAGCAGGCCAATGAAGGTTAGTACGGCATATCCGACGAACGAAGGTAAGCATATTATACCCTACCAATGAATACAAGGTTTTATTAAGCCGACCTTTGAATGCCAGGTTAATATACCCAGCCAGTGAAAGTAAGGAATTTTTACCCAGCCAATGAAGGTAAGTACGTCATACCCACATAGTGTAGGCAACATTATTTTACCCAGCTTATGAATGCAAGGTTTTTTTATCCCGACCTGTGAAGGTAAGGTTATTTTACCAATGAAGGTAATTTTATTATATCCAGCCAGTGAAGGCAAGGTTGTTTTACCTGGCCATTGTTGAAAGCAAGTAAGTCTTACCACGCCAGTGTAGACAAGGATATTATACCCAGCTAGTGAAAGTAAAGTTTTCATAAGCCGACCTGTGATGGTAATGTTATTTTATCCAGCCAAACAAGTAATATTATTATAACCATCCAGTAAAAACAAGGATTTTATACCCGGCAACTGAAGGCAAGTTCGTCATATCCGGTTAATGAAGGGAAGTACGTCACAGCCAGACAGTGAAGGCAATATTATTATATTATACTCACCCAGTAAAAGTAATGGCGGCATGTCTCGTAAACACTGCAGAGTTTGCAAAGCATTCTAGAGCCACAGTAGCATCATCTGAAACTTGAGCAAACCCAAGAGGATCTTAACGGCAGTCTTCGCGACGTCCTTTTCTGCTATGGGGATCCGATAAAAGGCATTTTCGAGGTTTAACATTGAGAACATGACGTTGTCATGCAGTCGTAGAATAGGTCCTCCATTATTGTGAGAGGGTATCGGTCTGCCTCGGTGACTGCATTGAGCTTCCGATAGTGGCCGGTTTCACAGTAGTTGCCAGGACTCTTGTCTACCAAGTTGAGAATACTGACCCACTGGCTCGCAGATGGTCTGACGATAGTTTGCTCTTCTAGCTTCTTGAAGGCGCACTTGGCTTCTTTGAGACGATTCCCGTGCAGTGGTCGAGGTCGATTAAACACTGACGCTCCCTTGATGATGATGCGATGTTGGACGATAGACCCGCTGATATTTATACGGCAACCGTTTGGCCTCATAAGGTGGGCGATTTCGACCAGCGACTCGTCGTATTGCCTGTGGATAATAGCCACAGAGTGTTCCACCGCTACAATGATCTGGCCGTGCATGTGAAGGCTCGTCTTGTAGTTAACGAGGCGCATATTCTGTAAATCAGGCAGGAGGCCGGCGTGGCTCAGAAAATCAATGTCAATGATAGCACTGTGAATGTCAGCGATGATGAACGGCCAAGTATACTCCCGACGCAGGCCTAGATTGAGCGAGAACACTAGGCGGCTATATGTGGCGATTGGCGACATGTTTCCCGCTGTGAGGCTAAGCTTCTATTTAACCAAGGACTCCTCTTTCGCCTCGCGAACTGTCGCGGTACCAGCAAGAGGACGGAGCCTGAGTCGATTAGGAAGGTCAGGCCTGTGTTCCTCTCTTTTATATGCAGACGGTTTTCGAGGCCTGCGATGCTGCCGTGAAACAGTTAGACGGATGGTAGCAGGGCTAATTTTCCGGCCCTGGCTGGAATGAGCAAAGCTTGCGACAATGTTCCGGTAAAGTTCTGGAGCGGTAGTGGTTGAAGCAGTAGTCGTAAGGTGCTGGAGAAGCCGAGCGACTACCTAAAATACGGCTACGGCTGCGGCTTCTGTTAGCCGACCGCGCGGTGGGCGGTGCTGATACTATGACTGCCTCGAGAATTAGCTTGGTGACCGAGTGCAGCTGTGTTATGTTGGCGCGTGGATTGACGTCCTCCCTGGACAGAGAAGAACCAGATGTTCCACCACGGCTCGGTGACGTGCCACGCGAACCTTGTCCAACTGCTGAGACGGCGGGGGCAGGCAGCTTGTAGATCTCGTCCGCCGTCACAGTTAGCAAATCGAACGAACTGTTGCGCATAACGCGGAGCAGACTCTGCGATGCAGGCAGCAGCGTGTCAAGCTACCGCACCTTTAGCCCAGCCTCTTCGATGCTCGTATCGGCGAGCCGTTTTATCTCGTTGAGGATGCTCAGCGACTTGCGGCCTCCGTGTGCACACCACTATATAGCGTGCGTAGGTGCTGTTCGGCAGTCTATCCAAAACACCAGTATCTGGATTTTCAAACGATCGTATTTACCTGTATCCGGCGGGATCTGTAGTACGTCCAAGAGGTCCTTGATCATGCCAGGGTCCAGAGCGGTCACAACAATGTAATAGTTCATCTCGTCCGTGACGACATTGTGGCAGACAAACATGGACTCTCCGTGCGCGAACCAGGCTTATGGCGACTCCTTCCACACCGCCGACAACTTGCAGGTCTGCGCCGCGGCGCTCAAGCCCTGAGCAACAAGTTGCTGCTGCAATCGTACAAACTCTTTTTAGAAACTCTTTTTACACACACACAGTCCGGCCGAAACCAAGGTGAGATCCGCCGGTAGTGAGTTTCCGGTGCCTTGCGTGCGGTAAAATTCGCTATCCATTGTGCCAACACTACTCTCATCTTTCAATGCAGTCTTAACCTCACAACCGCGAGCATTGTTTGTCACTGGCACAAGCTCAGGCAAGGCTTTACCTCCGAGCACTTTTGCGTACATGCGAGTTGTAGGTCGCGAACTAACACTCTTCGTCAGTGCTTGAATCCTCGGAGTGGTTGCTCGTGTGCGTGTAGCAACAGATGCTGGAATACAGGAAGGTATAGTTAAAGATGGTGGCGCCGTGGGTTTTTGGCCGGTCACGATGTCGAGCACATATCCGCCGTATCATGTCGGGGTCACCACTCTTGCGTTCTTTGGGATAGGAGAACGAAAGGAAAAGCCACGACGAATACGCATAATAAATATATATTGTCTAAATATAAAAAGGGTGCTATCTACAGGCGAGCAAATGGAAGCACTCATTTAAACGCGCGTATATTGCTGCCATGTTGCAGGAGTGTCTGACTAAGGCGCAGTTCCGGGGCTTGAAAATTTGCTTCCTCTCTCGTCGTTGCTGGTGTTGCCGACTAGTAGCCGAAGAGATAGGTGGTTAAGTTCTCACACTATTAAATAATTTAATTTTCATATATATGCCAAGATACAATGCCGTTCCACTAATAATGATTATCAGGCCTATACAATTCTTTATCCAACCAAGCTTTTCAAAAATGAAGAAAAATGTCCTTTTAACCATAAAAAATAGTGTAAAAATAAAATTTATTTCATTATGCTTTTAAATCTTTTTAAATTCAATCAATTAACAATCTAATTTTATTGTATGTTCTTACTAAAAAGATCAGTTAACCTGTTAACCGGGGAAATCCCTTTCTATTTACGCAACATATAATGGGCGTGTCCTTTTTCACTAAGACATGTATGAATGACTTATTGCCATAGTAGTAGTAAAATATACGTCCCGCCCGTTCCAGGGCGCAATATAAATATCGAGGACGTATTCATATGTCCTACCCGTACCCGATATTGTTTACTTTTAATTGATTTATACGTCCCGCTCGGTTAACAGGTTAACGGGCATGCATTATAGTAAGAACATACAATAAAATAATATTTTTGTTTTTGATGTATATATTAATAATTTAAAAAAAATAAGAGGGGTTCAATTAAAATAAGCGAGGGTTCAATTTTTTTGTCTTGTTTCCTTGCAAAAATATTAAGTATTGCTAAAAATATCACAGTTGCAAAAAACTAGAAAATGTACTACTGTGGGCAAAAAGTAAGGTGAATTTGTTTGTAAAATGAAAAATCTTTATTTATTCTTCTACATCAATGTCATCCCCTTCGAAGTAATCCCCTCCCGATAAAAGCCAAATCAGGCCAATACGGTGGTTGCGGAACGATATGCGTCGAATTTTTGGCGAAATGGTCACGAAGAACGAGTGCAGTGTGAGATGGTGCATTATCGTGATGCAAAAACCAAGAGTTGTTGGCCCATAATTCTGGTCTTTTTAGACGAATTGCTTCACGCAAACGACGCATAACGCTCAAATAATATTCCTTATTAACAGTTTGGCCGGGTGGAAGGAATTCATAGTGCACCACACCACGAAAATCGAAGAAAACTGTCATCATGACCTTGATTTTTGAACGACTTTGACGTGCTCTTTTCGGTCTGGCCTCGCCTTTAGCACGATATTCGCTTGATTGGTCGGTTGTTTCAGGGTCGTAAGCATAAATCCAAGTCTCATCTCCCGTAATCATGCATTTGAGCTTGTCCTGATAGTCAGAAAGCATTGTTTCACACACATCAACGCGGCGACTTTTTTGCAAGAAATTGAGCGTTTTCGGTACCAAACGAGATTTGACTTTTCGTAGGCCCAAATGGTCTTTCAAAATTGTTTTCACAGATCCTTCTGATATTCCGATCATATCAGTAAGGTCTCTAACAGTCAACCGACGATTTTCGAGTTGGTCATCTGTTGACGTCGATGGTCGTCCGGAGCACTCCAAGTCATCAACACGTTCTCGACCCTCTTTGAAGTCTTTGTACCACTTATAAACATTTTTCTGCGACATGGTAGAATCACCAAAGGCCTTCCGCAACATCCTCAACGTTTCCGCAGCCGAAATTTCATTCCGCAAACAAAATTTGATGGCACTTCTTTGCTCAATTAAATCAGACATTGTAAAAATCGAAACATGCACTCTTGGTCGTTTGGTAAACACAAGCGTAAATATATTACTGATGATGACATTGACATGAAATTTGTCCCAGATGTCATTCGCAGTCCTACCAACTCAAGAAAAAAAGAACTAGCCCGAAATGTTAAGCCCGCGAAGTTTAAATTGAAAATTCACCTTACTTTTTGCCCACAGTAGTACATAGTTTTTAATTTTTTCTGGGACAACTAAAAAGATTCTATTAAAATAATGATCATTTTTGGATGGTTTAATTAGAGATATTTCTAGTGGTATTTTTTTTCATCGTCCACTACACTTTGTGAGCTGGAGTAAGGGGAATAGATTTGCCTAATTTGTAATCTCCAAAGATTAGCTTACCTGAAACAAAATAATATTTCCACCAAGTATTTTAATCTTTTTATTGTAATTAATAAATAATAATCTATATTATATTTATTTAATAAACTTATCTGAATTTGATATCACTCGATGTTCGAGACTTGAGATTTTTAATTTTTTATTAATACGTTTCGATTTTGTGTTAATATGATTCATAAAACAAATTTATATAAGCTTTGACCTGTTTAAGTGCAAGGTAACCTACATGATCAATAAAAACACACGTCGATCGAGGAATTGGAGAGCAGGTCTGAACAAATTTGGAAGACATCCTCAAAAAGCTTCCTGCAGTTAACTTTAGACCTCGCAATTATCTGTTCCAGGAGCTGCAGGAAGCTTTTTGATGATTTCTTTCAGATTTGCTCAGTCCTGTTGGAGAGATTGGAACAGCATCCCCCTTACCCCAGCCTGCAAAGTATAATGTACAGAGAAAAAAAAACCATTCGGCATATCTCTAATTGAACCCTCCAAAAATGCTCATTATTTTAATTGAACCCCTTCAGTTATACCAAAAAAAATTATAAACTATGATAATTTTTTCCTTCTTTGCAACTGCGATATCTTTAGTAATATTTAATATTTTTGCAAAGAAACAAGGCAAAAATATTGAACCCTTACTCGTTTTAATTGCACGCCTCTTACTTTTTCAAAATTATTAATATATTTGTTAAAACCAACAATCTAATTTTCTTTGGTTGATATGATTTATCGCGCACGCGCGTTAACCTATCTATTTGGAAAGAACATACAATAAAATTAGATTGTTGTTTTTGACATATATATTAATAATTTTGAAAAAGTAAAAGGCTTGCAATTAAAACGAGCAAGGGTTCAATATTTTTGCCTTGTTTCTTTGCAAAAATATTAAGTATTACTAAAGATATCGCAGTTACAAAAAACGAAAAAATTATCATAGTTTTTAATTTTTTTGGGACAACTGAAGGGGTTCAATTAAAATAATGAGCATTGTTGGAGGGTTCAATTAGAGATATTTCGAGTGGTATTTTTTTTTCACTGTCTATTACACTTTGCTGGCTAGGGTAAGGGGGGTTTATTTTCATGAAGTTGTATCGTATCTATATTGTTTATATAACTATGATCAGGATTCACAGCCAGCATTCCCATAGCATCTTGGTCATAGCTGTTATAACGAGTGAAATAGCTAACTCGTTATGTCTCTCTCTCCCTAGTAGCGATAAGTAAATGTAATCTATTTCTCCGAACCTATCCTATGCATTCATGAATTTATTGTATTTATATTTATTTATTATATATTTACGTATGTAGTTACACTTCTGTTCTGATATAAGGTAAGTGAGGGGACAGAGAGATGCGAATACGCAGGGATACTTCCGTGCGCGACAGCAAAGCGCAGAGAGATTGATTGATTGATAAAGAATTTATTTATGCCATAACCACATTTTGGCCTTATGGCAATTTGCATAATTTAATACATACAAATAGAGATACAATATAAATAGAGCATAACAAAATCGATCAGTCGGTAGTAGAACCAGACTACTATTTACAACAATAATAACAATAAAAGCCGCCAACAAAAATTACAACAGTGATAGTAGACGTAACATTAATAACAACGCGGAGCAAAACATAAGCGATACGGGACAGACATAGCAGTTTGAGAATTCAGCAGCAAATAACAAATTAGCACAATATACACTTTGTGTTAACGCTAGGCATTTAAAGCCAGACCAAGACAACCTGTGCGCCAACTGCAACCAACAGTTATTTAAACAATCTATTCCGTGAAACAAATATCACGTGATTTGAGGTACTCCAACAATCCCAGCCTAAAATTTGCACTGTTCTCCCTGAGGCATAGAGAAGCGGGCAATGAGTCCCAAAGAAGCATAGCTTGCACTGTAAATGAACTTTCATATGTGGCAGTACGAGCCAGAGGGATATCAAAGCAAGATTGTTGAAGACGCCCAGAGCGCCGAATTTCGTCTCTCAGCGAAGGGAATAAGGCACACAAGTATTCCGGCTTTTGAGTTGTAAGGGTTTGGTTCAGCAATTGCTGGAGCTTAATGTTAAGATAATCAGGCAGATTGCAATAGACTAGACACGCATAGTCGAAGTGAGGCAACACAAGGGCAGTGACCAGCTCCTTGCGAAGGGCTAACGGCAGAATCGACCCTCTTCTCCGCAACTTATGCAGTGCATCGTGCACACGCGATAAAACTTGGGTCACCTGGGAGTTCCACTGAAGACTATTAGACAGGATGAGCCCTAAGTCCCTCACAGTAGACACGAGCGGAATGATGTTATCTCCAATGGCAACTGGATATAGTGCACTCAAGTCCAGAAATCGTAATTGTTGGACTGATCCGAATAGCATAGCCGTCGTCTTAGCAAAATGGATATCAATTCCACGTATGATTGACCAATTTACTACGCGATTTTCACCCTGGTTTAACTTCAAGATTTCCTCATTTACCTCATAAGGTTTACACTGAATATAAATTTGGAGGTCGTCGGCCAAAAGCATACCAACAGAATGGAATAGGACAAGTAAAAGAGAACTTATAAATAACAGAAATATGATAGGGCCAGGTGCTGAACTCTGTGGAACCCCGGAAGTGACCACAAGGAACTGGAAAATGGTATCGTCAAGATCAAGCACTCTCTGGAAACGGCCCGTTATATAAGAGTAGATAAACGTGACACCATCATCCAAAAAGCTTAACTCCCTAAGAATCACAAGAAGCACAGTATAATCGAAGGAGTCAAACGCCTTCTTGAAATTAAACAAGAGCAAGATTGTTACAAGAGCCTCATCAAAGCCAAAGCGAATATCGGTGATCTCCAAAAGAGCTGTCTGCGTGCTGTAATGCTTACGAAAACCCGATTGGAAATCAGAAATCAGATTGTTTCCCTTCAAAAAATCAGTGATCCACTGGACGATAATATTATCGAAAGTCTTGGCAAGATGAGGAAGATTTGCAATCGGACGTGTGTCTGACGGAGTTTTAGGGTTTGGGTCCTTGCTAAGGGGAATGATTGCAGCTCTCTTCCATCTGGTGGGATACTGCTTTGTCGACATGTTAAACAGATTTGTTAGCGATGGGACTAGCGAAAGAAAAACTTGCTTCAAGTAGGTAAGAGAAAAACCATCAAAGCTACGGCCCTTCGCCCTCGGCAGACAGGATTTGAGAGAATTCAAAACTTCAGTCTTGGTAATCGAAGTAAATAAAAAAATTTCATGGTTCAGCACTAATGGCAAAGCTAGGATATCTTGTAATTGGTCACTCGAACAAAGGGGATACCTCGTAGCCATTAAACTGGAGTGACAGTTCAAATCTCGCGCAGAGAATAGTCGGAGCAGCGAGCCAGCTACATCATTCATAATGCCGAACCTATTTAACAGACGCCACAGATTCGACTTACTGCACGCACCAACAAGGGACTTTGTAATATATTCATCTCGAGCAGAGTCAATACTTTTGCTTAGCCGTCTACGGACCTCATTATAATCCATCCAATGGAGCCAATTTCGGGAACGCTTGGCACGCTTACGAGGGTCGTCCGGTAAGTACTTAGCCTCACCGCACGATGGCGCCACTCTCGCAAAAGAAATATTCTATTACCTTCTCGATGGATAGATTTCAGCCGGATCAAAGTTGTAGTTTATTTTTGAGAGCGTGTGAAAGCAAGTGTGTCCGTTGATTTTTGAAAAATGGAAAAAGAGTAGTATCGGTCAGTGATTCGATTCTTGTTTTTGGAAGGGAAATCGCGCAGCGAAATCAAAAAGCGCTTGGATGCTGTGGACGGTGACTCTTCTCCTTCGATAGCGACCGTCAAAAATTGGTTTAACGAGTTTCAACGTGGTCGCACGTCGATTTTTGAAGAGCCACGTCCAGGTACTCCGAAAACGGCTACCACGGAGGATAACGTAACAAAAATTCACGATCTCGTATTGGCAGATCGACGATTGCAGGTGCGCGAGATAGCTAAGATCGTAGGCATCTCAGAAGATCGCGTGGGTCATGTCCTTCATGAAAATTTGGGCATGAGAAAGCTGTCGGCGCGATGGGTGTCGCGTTTTCTCACTCCGGACAACAAGCGCGACCGTGAGATAACTTCAGAGCAATGTCTGACGCTGTTTAAGTGCAATCCAAAGGAGTTTTTGCATCGTTTCCTGACACTCGACGAAACATGGATCCACTGGTATACACCAGAGACCAAGGAACAGTCGAAACAGTGAACTTTACCCGGCGAAAGTGCTCCGAAGAAGGCGAAGACTGCCCCATCAGCCGGAAAAGTGATGGCCACCGTTTTCTGGGATTCACAAGGTGTGATCTACATCGACTACCTGGAGAGGAGTAAAACGGTCACAGGGCTGTACTATGCCGAATTATTGGGCCGATTCGACGTCGAATTGCTGAAAAAACGGCCCCATTTGGCGAAGAAAGAAGTGCTCTTCCACCATGACAACGCACCGCCTCACACCTCCACCGTCGCCATGGCCAAATTGGTCGAATTAGGCTACGAACTGCTGTATTCTCAGCTCCCACCGTATTCTCTAGATTTAGCCCCGTGCGACTTCTTTTTGTTTCCAAACTTGAAAAAGTCACTCGCCTGGCAGAAATTTGAGTCGTATGAGGAGGTAATCGCTGCCACGGAAGCCTACTTTTTAGATCTCGAGGAAACCTATTTTTCAGACGGGTTAAAGAAGTTGAAGCATCGCTGGGCCAAGTGTATTGAACTAAAAGGAGACTATGTTGAAAAATAAAACGCCACTTTTCCAAAATTTTCGTTTTTCTTTTGTAGGTTAAGTACTTATCGAACCACCCTCGTTTATAATCGGTCTCTATACTTGCGCAGATCGTTAAGATCCGCCGACATCCACGGAGCAGAATTTGTACTGATTTTTCGTGTCACGAAGGGCGCATGTTTATCAAGATCGGAGGAGAGTACGAGTATTTCTTCAATATAACTCAAATATTGGTCGACATTATCTGGTCGGGATGAATTCAGGGGCGTCAAAACAACATCCAGTGTCCGAGCAAAACTATCTGGTGAAAAGTTCTTAAATGAACGAAAAGTATAGCTCTTTGATTTATCAACGCAAATGCTAAGGTCGACATCACAAATTAAATAGTCATGCCCGTTAATGTATGGAGCATGTGATTTCTTAGTAAATGCTACACAATCAGGCGAATTAACTAGGATGATATCAATCCATTTATCTGAGTTGGCCGTATGATGAGTTGCATTAAACGGAACCAAGAACAGAAAATAGTCTGAGATAAGTTTCATCAAATGGACTCCATAGCTATTGTTCTGATCGCAAACATCTGAATTAAAGCATTCTGAGTGAAAGCTCTTGAATCCGCTTGAATAGGCCAGATAAGACACGACCTTCAGGTCTACGGTAGACAACGCAAAACATAATCTTCTTATTAGTTACACTTATATCTAAAATCATGTACTCGGTCTCATTTCGAACCTTGATGGATGACGATTCAGTCTTACTGAAAGACATGCTTATACGCATGTAACAAGTCACACCACCGCCCTGAACATAAACGCGCTTGCCCGTCTCTGATAGAAGGCCCCAATCATTATGAACAAAGCTGTAACCATCAATGGAATACGGAACATCACCATGATTTGGAGTCAACCAAGTTTCCGTAATAGCAAGGATATCAATACTTTCATCTATCAAAAGTTCCCTAATTTTAGCATGGTGGCAATGCAGCAAGCTTGCATTAACGTGGGCTATACGCAACCCTTTCGAGACAACGCTAAGTGGGCAGATAGGACTTGTGGGTAATTGGCGTCATTCCAAACGGTCGAGATCAGCTTCGGTCACAATCACACGGCGCTCCGATTTATCGTTTTTTCGAACATAAATGTTGCCATCGCGCAGCCACACGTATTTATAATGTAATGCCTCTGCACGTGACTTCGTCAACATGCGCAACTTATGCACCGGCTGCGGAGCTAACTCGTAAAGCCCAATTTTGCTGTGGAGTGAGCCACCAACAAGATCAGAGAGTTTAATGCTGCCGAATTTACGCTTGGCCTCAAGGATGAATCTGCGCACCTCGGGGGACTTCAGCCTAATTACGAAGGACAACAACTCCACTCGCGAGGGCGGGTTTCGCTGCCGGTTAGTCGCTCCACCATCTGAACCCTGTTGACTTGTAGTTTCTTGCGGCACCACACGACGCGCGAAGGGCCTTGTCTCGATGATATCCACAGATAAACGGTTAATACCAAGAACTCCTAAAATACGTGTAGCAAGATCGTCAAGAGGCACGGCGCACGACGATGGCACACCAGTTGCCCTTATTTGGGTACTAGGCACAGCTCGAGCGTAGAGATTCTTCAGCTGATCGATCTCACCACGCAGAATCACATTTTCATTCACCAGATTGTTTATTATTCTATCCTGCGTTTTAAATCGTTCGGCAAACGCGTTCAGCTTCGGACTTGTTTGCGCAGCAATGGCATTCTGGTTCCGAAAAATCGCAGCCAATTGATCAGATTGAGAAAGTGTGCCCCAATTTTGCGGGAGATCATTATTATCTGCGTGCATATTGGATGAGCTATCAGATGACAAATTCATACTGGACTTCGCAATATTACGCACGCTATCAAAGGTAGAAGAACGGGCCGCAGCAGATGAACTAGCCCAGTTGGTAGCGTTGAGCAGCGCTAAATATTTTTGTCGCGTGACAGACCAATCCAAATGGAATGCGCAACAAGCTTCCGCTGATTTCGACTTCAAATAATAAGTTACGTAGCCTGGATGGAAAATACGAGCGCAAACCTCATAATATCTTAGCGCACCGGCAATATTACCAGAGCAACGCGCACACAATGTTTTATTACGCTGCTTGTTAATATCAGGCATTAGAAGCGACGGAAGATCACTCATTCATTCATATAGGCACACAATGACATCTGTTGTGAATTCAAGGAGCTCCCATACTTAACAATCGGTAATCGAGGAGCAGCGCCCTCTCGCCAGACAAATCGGTATGCAAATTATATTTAAATTTCGCGCTTGAGAATCCTAATACGCTAACGTAAATAGTCACAGTCGAATGACTTACGCATAGATTTAGCCTAAGATTATGATATAAACACGCAATTATAAACCGCAAAAATACATGTATACACTAAACAAACACCATCATAAGTCACAAATAAGTATATAAAAGTAAGTTTCACTGGACCTCTGAATTTCTCATCTCATCTTAGATAGAGCAAACAAGTCGATGGTCATCAGAAGAACGTAATCACAGCCGCAGGCAGGTGATGACAAGGCCAATGGCAGTCAATTCACGCAAAAAGATGGCTCCAGAGCTCAGCAAAAATACCCAAAATTATCGGTGGTGTTTGAGACTTTACTGGCTTAAATAGAAAGGCCTGGCGGCACAATTTATTAACAAAAGCGTAGGCCAGTAAGAAACACACCACCTGCAATCAAAAAGTTGCTCAATTCGCAAAGCGAGGTATCAATACCACACATTAAATAGCGGACAAATAAAATATACGTGCTGACTCACCGAGAGAGAGAGAGAGAGAGAGAGAGAAATATAGTCGCGCCTTAGCGAGTGACCGCGCGCACTTATTGGCTCATTAAGACGGAATCGTGTAGTTGAGCCCCGGCGTGAGCAGTAGCTGTTTAGAAATGCGAGTAAGCCGACAGGGTCTCGCCGACTGCTTTCTACTGTTGGATCTTGTCTGTATCCTGCTGCCCTTTTCTTCGTCCCTGGAGTATTTGTCTCTGTTGAGGAAGAGAATGCGACGTCGCCTGGCTCTGCGGACGATTCAGACACGTGGACTGGGGCCGGTAGTGTGGAGGATCAGTCTGCCGTTATGCTAGGGATCACTACCGAAGAAGACAGGGCTCCGCGGTGCACGTGGTGGCCTATCGTTCGTGTGCACGCGTCAACGCAGATAGTAGAAGTCGTCGACGATCCTAGAGTTTAGACACTTACATTGTAAGTTCTGGCTTAATGGTTTGCTCTCCCTCTCTCTATTTGTTCACTCAACGTGCTCTCTCCCTCCTTCCGACCGTCTTTGTTA